GTTGATATGATTACTAATAAATATTAATGATTTTAGCCTGTTGGGACGAAAATCCAGATAAGAGGCCCAAAATCATTCAAGTTAAAGAATTGCTCGAATTATTAGATATGACCATTAAATTAGATACGTCAAAAACTTCAGAGAAACCTGAATCTTATGAAAGTAAACTTATTATTAGTAATGAAAATCTTATAATAGCTAGCAATATTGCTAAAGAATTGGAACAAAAAACATTGAATGAATTATATCAGCTTATTTTCGTTCAAAAAAACAAAGGGTTTAATGATTCAACATTAACAACTTGTATTAACACGTTCATTGATAACAATCAGACGACTTCAGAGCGGATTTTTAATTTATTAATTGATTGCCAGGAAACTCCCCAAAATGTACTCACTCTTGGGGTTCTTAGTCTTCTTGGAATTGGAACCGTCAAAGATCCCGAAAAAGCGTTTCGACTCTACCTGGAATCTGCTGAAGGCGGAGATCATCTGGGACAAAGTCGTCTTGGATATTGTTATCACAATGGAATTGGAACCACTCAAGACTACGATAAAGCATTTAGTTGGTATCTGAAATCGGCTGAAGGTGGAGGTGCTTTTGGACAATGTAATATTGGATATTATTATGAGAAGGGAATTGGAACCACTCGAGATTACGAGAAAGCATTTTATTGGTATCTGAAATCGGCTGAAGGTGGAAATATTGGGGGACAATGTAATATTGGATATTGTTATGAAAAGGGAATTGGAACAACTCGAGACTACAAGAAAGCTTTTCATTGGTATTTAAAATCAGCCGAAGGTGGAGATGCCGTTGGACAATGTAATCTTGGATATTTTTATAAAATGGGTATTGGAACTACTCGAGACTTCGAGAAAGCTTTTCATTGGTGTCTGAAATCTGCTAAAGGCGGAAATACCAGGGGGCAATGTAATCTTGGAAATTGTTATGAAAAGGGAATTGGAACCACTCAAGACTACGAGAAAGCTTTTCATTGGTATCTGAAATCAGCCGAAGGTGGAGATGCCGTTGGACAATATGGTCTTGGATATTGCTATGATAATGAAATTGGGACATCTCGAGACTACAATAAAGCATTTCATTGGTATCTGAAATCGTCTGAAGGTGGATGTGACGCTGGACAATGTAACCTTGGAAATTGTTATGAGAAAGGAGTTGGAACTACTCGAAACTACGAGAAAGCATTTCATTGGTATCTGAAATCTGCTAAAGGCGGAAATACCAGGGGGCAATGTAGTCTTGGAAATTGCTATGAGAATGGAATCGGAACCACTCGAGACTACAATAAAGCATTTCATTGGTATCTGGTATCCGCCGAAGGCGGAAATACCAGGGGACAATCTAATCTTGGATATTGCTATTATAATGGAATTGGAACCATTAAGAATAAAGAGAAAGCAAAATATTGGCTTGAAAAATCTAGAAAGTAGATCCAAAAGAGAAAGCATACTTTTTACAGTATATTTATAATATAATTTTGTTGACCGTGATCAATAAAAAATATTATCAAGTTAAACAATTATTTTTATTCATTATTTCATTTATTTCGTTTTCTAGTATTCTTTGCTTGTAAAATGTCTGCAACATATAGTAATAATTAAAAATGAAGAAGTATTGACTAATTTTAAAGGAGAAAAAAATAAAACAAAAAAATTTTTAAATTAAGTCTAGCCGTTCAAAAATTCAATAGTTATTCCAAATATTGTTATTAGGTAAAAAAATACACGTCTTCCCCGGGTTTAATCAAAAAATAAAATATAAATTAAAGGCTCATACAGATATTGTATAATTAGCAACTAAATGAAGAACAAGAAAAAAATGGATCCAAAAAATGCCAAAATTTTCAAAATAATATGAACAATAAACAAATGGAATTAGAGTCTTATGGATTCGCAGAGACAGAAATAATACGTGTTAGTTTCCCTCGTAACATAATGTTTGAGTGAAATCTACCTGACTGTTCTTCAAATAACACATTATATTTGCAAGTTGTAAGACAACTCCGTACATATTCTTTATGGGTAGAGACAACCAATCAAGTAGGGCCTTATAATTATTATTAAAACGCATAGGTAGGGGTTAATTACTCGAAACGATAAGTATCGATTCGAAAATTTTCCGAGAAAGTGGGAATTCGGTTAATTATCCTTTAATGCCTGCCATCTAATTAGTAATGTGTAATGTTCAGGTGTTTGAGCGAAGCGGAATCTCTAAAACATCAATAAATTTACAAGTAAAAAATTTATCCATGGGCTAGTATACATTGACGTTCTTTGAAACGATCAAAAAAAATAATTTTACTCCGATGCATTCCCACACGATACATTTGTAAAAAATACACGCACATACGTCGAACTGATATTAGATGAACTTTAATTTATGATTGAAAAAGAGTCACGTAAAAATATATCACAAATTACAATATAGCAATACAGTTAATATTTTGCCTAATAAGCCATCAAGGAATTTACTATGCGGCTAATTTTCAATACATTTTTTATTTGTTTCTGGGATTTACAGAGAACATCAGAGATTACGAAAAATTCTTCACGGAGTTCCTTACGAGGAATTCATTATGGAGTTCATCTCGGTCAGATTTAATATTAGTTACTGATTATTCTTTGTAAAAAAGCGGAGAGAATAGGGGAAGAAAACAAGGATAACGGCATATTGAACTACTCTGTTGTTAAACTCTTAGCAACATCCGCAAAGGATTTGCTTCTTTCGATATCTTCTTTTCTCATTTTAACAAAATAACCAGTGATTTTCGTTCGCGTAAAATTTTCATTCAAGTGTAAAAACTCGTTTTTTATTTTTAACTTCGGTTAGATAGAAGGTGAAGTTAGTGCTTCATTATTCAGTAGCGATACAATGACAAATTGATTACCATACTTATTTTTACCATAAATAATTTTTTTCTGACCTTTATCTTCCACTTCAGCTTTTTCATCAATATTTCATGCGACTTTTGTAGTTCAGATACTAGTATCTATGGACATGTTGTAATAGTGAGATCATCAGTGATTTTTATCTGGCTTTTTCGTGTGGGCTCTCCCGAAGAGATAGCGAATGAAGCGTAAATTAAAGAAATTTGCTTCAAATTGTACGACAGAGGGAATTGCTTGGATGTTTGTCAACTTGTAAGAGTTCGCTTGAAAACGCTCTCCTCAATTTTCATAAGGGTTTATCAAATAATTTAATTAAGAAAGATAATTAATAACTGAAGTGGATTCTTGGAAACCTACTTATTAACTGGAACGACCCTGCTCAATGATTTGCTTTCTAACATTCAAAATACTGCGGTTCATCATGCATGAGCCCAGTCTCGATACACTTGTTTCTCCGATAAGATACAATATAGAAAGTATGAAGACGAAACATGGCAAAAAATGTATAAAAACACTAAGATATAGAAACTGTTACGAGAGACTAAAACGGATGATATTAAATGATAAGTAAAGGTATACAATCATGGTATCGGGATGTATTGGAGAAATAGGAGATAGAAAACTAATGTTCAATAGTGGTGATTAGGGTAGTCGAGAGTAGGTATCTGTACTATATTTAGCAGCGTAGCACCATTACCATTTTGTTTCTTCATTAATAAAATATGAATGAGGATGATCTGGAGGACGTTTAGACTACTGTTTTGAAGATATTAATTTCATCCGCGGAATTTTACTCTATTATATGCTTTACCAAAACAAATCAACCACAGGGTGTGCTAGTAAATTATTTGTTGCATCATAAGATGCTTCCAACAAAGGTCTACCAAAGGAGTTTCGGGTTAAGAACCCTCTATACTTAAACCAGGAGTTAATATTATCACTAAACTAAAAGCTATACTCCTCCCAAGAAAATAAAAAAAAAATTCTGGATAAGATATCACCATACTTAAACCAAAAGTTGATGTTACCAAAAATGTCGGTATTTCTTCTTTGAGAATGATAATATTCTTTTGTAAAATCATTCCTGGGACTGGCTAGTCAAATCAATTGACAACAATCATATCTCTGTCTAGTTCTACAAACATGAAATGAATTTGTGATCGGGATAAAATTTTAGATTTATAGTTTTGCATCACCACTCTATAAATCTTATAAAATATCTGCTTTCTATTTGAAAAAGATTATTGTAATCATGCTTAAAAATGAGTAGGCCTAATTCCGAGAAAAAAGCTTTGTTCTATCTTTAACTAAACTCACCAGATGTTTATATGTAATTGTGACTGGGAATGTTTTTGTCTTAATTTTTTTCTTTATAAGGGCTCTGATCAATTATTTTTGGTGGAGATATTGGCTGTACTATTAATTGTGATCCTAAAACTTTGTATTGTATACGTATGATTTAAAAATTGGGATCAAGAATTTTATTCAATATTTCGTTTGTCGCCTTCAAAGATAATTTCTCATGTTGATATAAGCAAAAAATTTTCTGTTAATAAAGTAATCATATGATAAGAATATAAGACAAAGCTATTGGTAAATAAATATTATTGATTGTATTAATGTTCAATTAGAAATCACGAAAGTCGTGAACCCACAAGCCATGCCTTATCACAAATTTTCATTATACTTGATTACTATAAAGTCTATAAACAACAAAAAAAACCCGAATTTTAATTAAGTTAATAATATTAAGATTATTTTATTATGTTTAATTTTCTTTCCTTTTTTTTTTTGCGACAATTAATCTAAAGTGGCAAAAAGGAGTTTTATAGAATCAGAAAAATAACAAGAAATCTATCTAACATTATCAAAGGAACTCATAAGGATAGGCTAGCCTCAGTAAAATTATAAAGGTTTATTTGTCTTTTTTTTTTTTACACGAATACGTTCCTTGGATAGGAGTTAATTTAATTTTTTCAAAAATGAGACGAAATTTGATTTAAAAATTTTATTAGTTCTATATACAACCGATTAGCATTTCTGAGGATGCAAGGAAAGCACCTATTTATACTAATCTCAGAGTTTATATTACCATCTTCTAGGAAATCGATTATTATTTTGATTGGGTGCGGATTCTCTTCTACGAAAATCCATCCGAGGACTCATGTGTCTTTTATTTCGATTCTCTTCTCGTCCAGGAGCTTGGACTTCTCTTTCTTGACCAACCGATAGAATGTCATATCTTCTTTTATTTGTAAACCTCGGAAACTTTTTAACACGTTCATCAATATATTCTACATCTACACGTCGATCTATTTTTCCAAGACGGTCACTAATAGATGGTTTTTTTCCATCACGTTTGAAAGAAAAATTTATGCGTTCTTGATTATCATAAGATAAGTTGTGAATATGACCTTCACGTTTGTTATTAGACCGTAAATTTTTCTCATATTTCCAGCGTGGTGAATAGGAACTATTATCGGAGCTGTCTTGATAAAAGTTATTATCTGGACTGTCTTGATAAAAATTATTCTCGGGGACGTCATGATAAAAACGATGCTCGGGGACGTCATGATAGAAACTATTTTCGGGGACATCATGGTAAAAACTATGCTCGGGGACATCATGATAAAAACTATTTTTGAGGACGTCATGATAAAAATCATTTTCAGGGCTGTCTTGATAAAAATGATGAAAATAAAGTGGATCGTTTTGAGGATCTTTTTGACGTGCAGGTTTTCCATTCTTTCGGAGGAATCTAGCGTTATTTTTTCGGTAAGGCGAATGTAAATTACGCTCACGGTGAAAAGTCCATTCTTGTTCAGTTGTCGACCTCATTCGTTTTCGAGTTAATTCTACATATTTTTTTTCTTCAACTAAAGGACATGGACGGCGAGTTACAACGAATTTGTTATTGCGGTTAGTTTTATTACGACTAATCTCATAGTGATTGATCTCATTGCGAATAATCTCATTACGAGCAGATTCATTGCAACCAATCTCATAACGAACAGATTCATTGCGACCAATCTCACCACGAGCAGATTCATTGCGAATAATCTCATAACGAGCAGATTCATTGCAACCAATCTCATAACGAGCAGATTCATTGCGATCAATCTCACCACGAGCTGATTCATTGCGACCAATCTCTCCACGAGCTGATTCATTGCGACTAATCTCTCCACGAGCTGATTCATTGCGACTAATCTCTCCACGAGCTGATTCATTGCGACTAATCTCTCCACGAGTTGATTCATTGCGACTAATCTCTCCACGAGCTGATTCATTGCGACTAATCTCATTACAGGTAGATTCATTGCGACTAATCTCTCCACGAGTTGATTCATTGCGACTGGTCTCATTATGGACAGACTCATTTCGACTTATCTCATTATGAACATGTTCATTTTGTCTGATCTCTTTACGAACAGATTCATTTCGGTCGGTCTCATCACGAATAGATTCATTGCGAATAGTTTCTTTACGAACAGATTCGTTGCGGCTGGTCTCATTACGAATAGACTCATTGCGACTGATCTCATCACGAATAGATTCATTGCGACTAGTTTCTTTACGAACAGATTCGTTGCGGCTGGTCTCATTACGAATAGACTCATTGCGACTGATCTCATTACGAACAGATTCATTGCGGCCGGTCTCATTACGAACAGATTCATTGTTGCCAGTCTCATTACGAATAGACTCATTGCGGCTGGTCTCATTACGAATAGACTCATTGCGGCTGGTCTCATTATGAACAGATTCATTGCGGCCGGTCTCATTACGAATAGACTCACTGCGACTGGTCTCATTACGAATAGACTCATTGCGGCTGATCTCATTATGAACAGATTCATTGCGGCCGGTCTCATTACGAATAGACTCATTGCGACTGGTCTCATTACGAATAGATTCATTGCGACTGGTCTCATTACGAACAGAT